CTCAGGCCCTCCAGGTCGAGGTTGAGGCCGGGGGGCTGCAGGGCGAGAGAGAGAGGCGAGGGTCAGCGCTCAGCGCAGGGGCTCCAGCCTCCGGGCTCCCTGTGCACCGCCTGGACCCAGGGACCCCCGCTCGACCCCACACCTTTGCCAGCCCCGAGCAGGTTTGGCACCTCCTGGAGCAGCGAAGCAGAGGGGACCAAGCCTGGATTTGCCACCCAGGACTCAGGTGTCTCTGCGGGACAGGGATTAAACAGCCTCACAGGCATGGGAACAGCCCCTCCAGCCCTTGTACCGGTGGCAAACACCAGTGTCCTGGTGGCTAGAGAGGGCATGGGCTGTCCCTGGTACCCCAGCGATCCAGGAGCCACCACAATGGCCCAGTCAACCCCAAGAGGGAACACCGTCCTGAGCAGAGTTGGGCTGGCATCCGAACAGGTCAGTCACACAAATGGTTAAGGGTCTCTCCTCCTGCAGGCCCCGCGGGGCTGGCAGAGCAGGCTCTGGGCAAGAGCCAGGCGTCCCTAAATGTCACCGTGCCTCAGCTCTCGCTAGCATGCCGCTTTGGCCCCGGCAGTGTTGGGCCGCCAGGTTGGGCCACAGGCCCCGCAAGGCGCCGCTGGCACCTGGCCCCCAGCCCCAGCTCTTTGAGGAGACCCCAGACTGTCTCCATTGTGGAGAGCCTCTAACCACCTGGAAAGGAACAGCAAGCGGAAGGACAGGACATTGAGGCCCTTCCAGGATGACTCATGCTTCATCCATCCCTTTTGGAGCTGTTTAACCATGCGAGTGCAGGGTAGAGCCTCACAGCTGCACAGTCAGCCCTGCCACCTTGCTGCCATGCTGTCTGGGTGGGCAGCAACTGCTGCCCCAGGGCACTGCTACCACCTATGGGAGCATGGGCTGGAGCCAAGAGCTTGACCAAACCCTATCAGGGATGCGCTGTCTCCCTCTGTCCCTGCGAGGGATGGTTTGGACCAGCCTTTCCCACAGGTCCTGCAGGCAGCCAGCAAGGACCTCTCGGATCAAGGGACCTCTGGGCTTGGCCAGGTCTGCAGGAGCGACCTTGGTTAGACACTCACCGACTCCCCAGCCAGCTCCTTGGGAGGATGCCCCAGGTCCTGCAGCTGGAAGAGAAAAAAGCAGGTTTGGGGGGGGGGGGGGGGGTTTTTTCGAGGAGCAAGCAGCCAGGACCTCCAGGCAGCCGAGGAATGGGCCAGCTCACCTGTTGCATGAGGTCCAAGACCATCTCAAAGCGCGCTTTCTGCTCAGCGTCACCATCTGTTGGCCGCTCGGCCTCGAACTGCTGGCAGATTTTGCCCATGATGTTGTGCTGCTCCTGGTATTTCTCATACTGCTCCTCAGGCAAAGAGTCGCGGTGGAGCCGCAGCCACTCGGGGTACTGCAGGCAGAGGAGAGGAGGGGGCACGGGGCAGAGGGGACCGCGCTAGCCCCAGTCCCAGCCCCTCACCTTCTCTGTAATCTCCTTGAGAGAGGGGTAGAGCACTTCTTTGGACAGCAGGTTTTGCATGATGTTCTGCATGATGGGCAGGATGTTGCCTTCACCGTCGCCCTCCTCCAGGCCCAGCCCCTCTATGGCTTTCGCCAGCTCTTCCTCCGACACAGTGGAGTTCTGCAAAGAGAGCATCGGTCCCACGGGCTGGGGGGGCCCCGGGGACAGCCAGCGCCCTGCAGAGCCCCGTGCAGCCTCTGGTTCACGTGCAAAGGGACGCTCAGGGCTGCATCGTCCAGGCTTGCGAGGCAGAGCAGCCGGGGGTCCCCACTCCCATCTCCAGCTGCGGGATCACCTGCAGGTCGTTGGCGTTCTTGGCCAAGCCGCTGAGCGTCTCCTTGAGGCAGGACGTGAACTCCTGTTGGGATGCCGTGTCACTCCCTGCGAGGCCGGAGAGATGCTGGGTCAGGGGGTTACTTGGGGCTCTGTGGGGGACATGGGGTCCTCCCTAGCTGGACTCAGCTTTTACCCCCCAAGGGGAGAATTGGGGTCTCATCTTCCAGGCCTCAATCCAGAGGGAAAGCCCAGCTTGCCTAGTCTTGGAGACCCATGGGACTGGGATACCGCCCGAAAGGCCCCCAGACCCTCTCTCCTTCCTGCCCTGCCACAAAGACCCCCATCATCAGCAGAGGCCTCCAGGAGCCCCTGACACATGGAAGGGAAACGCCAGCCTGGAAAAGGGACTTCTATTTAGTGCTAGGCACATGCTCGCTGATACAAAACACAGCTGATCCCCCTCACCGAATCTATGGCTCTGCCGCTGCTGGGACCAGCTCACACCAGGCCAACTGCCAAAACTCCCCTCGGGCAGCTGGGCAGCCTGGGGATGGTAGAGGTCCTAGACTTGTTCTCATGTTACAGAACAGAGGATCCATCTCCAGTGACGGCGCAGTTTGTACTAGCGTGTGCAATGGGACCAGCCAGGCCCCTGCCATGGGAATGCAGCCTGGGCAAGCATCCTGTGTCAGGCTTTCCCCGGGCATGGCTCAGGGCAGGTGGACCACAGGAGCGTTGGGTTGCATTCTCCATCCTGGGACTTGACAGGGTTTGTCGGAGCAGTCTGAGACTCCAAAGTCACACCTTGACGAGGCTGCCCTCCAGCTGAGGCCAGGTCAAGAGCAAGCCACAGCTTGGGCTGAGAAGAGATGCTCTGTGGGGGGGACTGCAGGTGACTGGCAAAGCCCCGAGGGCCATGCTGACTCAGCCTGAGGCTCCAGCTTGGATGGCCGAGAGCTCCAGGCCCCGCAAAGTGTCTGTGTGCATCTCATGACGCTCATGCCAGCAACGCCTAGCGCACCGCATGTCCCTGGCATGCTTTCGTTTCAGTCCTCGAGCCCAGGACAATGGAGGCACACCAGGGAGGGGCTGCAAATGCCCGGCATGGTGGTAAGAGCTCAGTAGCATGTCCTGGACTTAACAGGGCCTCATCCTGCCCTGATGTAGCTGCACATTGCACTAGGCTGAGAGATGTGTCCCTGGGACCTTCCTGCAGCCTGTTCCCATGCCCTCTGCATCTCAGGTAAAGCCATCTCCTTTCCCATTATTCCCTTTTCCTCATCTTGTGAGGCAGCAGGATGCAGTTTTGGGCACACTTCTGTCCTCGTGGCTGGTACCAGTCCCAGGGCCCCGAGACCCCACTTCTGAACACGACAGCTCAGCAGCACCCAGGGGTGACTTCATCCTGCGTTGTCCAATGGCCAGAGAAAGAAAACAGCCTCAGATTCGGTCACGGCAGGACTCCTAGGGAAACTGAAACACTGACCTGCCCAGAGTTAAATTAAGACCTTCCCTGCCCAAGTCTGTGGAAAGTCCTCTGGGAGCTCTCCACAGTCCACACTGAAGAAACGCCAGCTGCTGATGCCCTCCGAGAGCCACGTTCATGCATCCCCTCCTGTGAAGGCACACTTTGTCCTGTCTGTTACCAAACAAACCTCTGCCCTGCACAACCGGTGACAACAGCGATTGCTCAACCATCCCAAGGGGCCAAGAAGGATCTTCTGCCCTTTAGCTCATGGTGCAGTGCTAGGCGGCAGGGCAGGGCAATCCAACTGCTACCACGGCACACAGACGACATCCCAGAGTCCAGCATGCCAAACCCTGGCACACGGAGCCAGGAAATCTTACCCTCGGGCAGCATGTGCTGCTCTGCCCGTGCCCTTGGTAACAGACTCCTGGCCCAGCCAGCAGCAGAGTTGGCTGCGAGCCGAGACCTCAACCCTGGGAACGGCTGCTGGGGCCAATGTGGATGTCAGCGTAAGCCTGGCAAGGCAGGATTTATTTTTAAACCGGTCTTGCGCTACCTGAAGAGTTCACCAGGTTGAAACAAGCCTCGTAGTGGTGAAACCAACTGAGCGTTGGACCTGTGGTCCACTAACTGAGGGGTTCGCTGCTTGCTTTAAATCCACTAAGAGGCTGACTGCGTCCAGCCTGCCACGTCCCGGGCACGGGGGAAAGCTCTCAGTGAGTGACATTGGCATGTTGACATGCACTGACATGCATCTCCTTCCCAGGGAGCCCACGAGCGACTTTGGCAGCTGCACAGGTCCACGCATGACCATCCTGCAAGTGCTTTTCAACACTCCTGGAGTAAACCCAATCTAATTAAGGGAGCATAATTAAGCCCCAAGTGGCTCTACGGTGCTTCTAATTGCAGTCAGACATCCCAGTGACACACAACTCGTTACCAGCCTTCCAGCATAGCTGAGAAGGCTGCTAAGGAAAGGCGGAGGAAGGATCTTGCTTTCACATCCACTTCTCCATATACCCCCAGTGCTAATCATGACAAGACGACGTTCCGATTGAGCCCAAACTTCTCCTGAGGAATCCATGTCACGCAGATTACCTCTGCGTGGCGGGGATTTAGGATGAGCAGGCTCCAAGGGGATGCTCCACAGCTGGGTTAAGGTGGGATCTCCTCTTCCATAGGGACTAAGAGGACAGTCGAAGGAGAAAGGCAGAGAGGCCAAATCCTGAGGGAAGCTCCCTTTGCAAAGTTGGCTTCAGCTGGGATCACTGCAGGCCGAGGGGCTCCCAGGACCCAGGTGGGGTAAGAGTTATCCACAGAAAGCCTCTCCCCGGCAGAGGAGAATCGGGTTCTCAATGGCAGCTGTGGGCTGCCCACAGCCCAGCACCTACTCCCTGCACGCACAGGGGCTCAGCACCACTCACCGACTCTGCCTGCTGCCTCTGACAGCTTCTGAAACTGCTCCACCAAGTGCGGCTCCTCCTCAGCCAGCTCCTTCATGGCTTTCTCAAACTCCGCTGTGGCCTGCGAGGCCAGTTCGCTGTCAAACAAATCCTGGAAAAACTTCTCCTGGGAGGCGAAGAGTGATTCCTGAGGGAAACGGGCACAGTCAGAGCTGTGCCCTGCTCTGGATGCCTGGAAGGGCTGCAGCTGGCAGCGACAGACCAGCCCCAGGAGATGCTGCTTTCCAACCTCGCAGAGGGCAAATACTGGCCCGTGGCAAAAACAGCCCTGCAACAGGGCTCTTCCCCCCCTTGCCCAGCTCCTCCAGCCCCGGCAAGCCGGCAGCGGCAGGGGGGGGGCACG